AGCCCAGTGCACTATGACCCCACTCAAAGATAACTAGGGTTTATCACGTCGAAATGCCTGACCTTCTCAAGCCTCACGTAAAACAGACCTGTGAAATTAGCAAATCAAGAATCGCCCTGGGACCGAAACGGCCACGAAAGACCTGGGGAGCCTCAGCTTTTTCGTCGTCGTCTCTCCGGTCCAACCTATAGAGTCTTTTCCCAATATTCTGCACAGGCGACCGCTTCTGGTGTTGGTATTGCCAAATCTTGAGGAGTGCATTGTGGTGCCGCAGGGCATCTCAGGAGGTGACTCATGGTTTGCTTCGCCTAACAAGCACATTGTTCGGTTGTGCAGACGCCACATGATGTCATGAGAGTTGCATCTGCCGAAACCCACTCTGTTTAGGCTTCAACATGTGAGCCATTTGGAATTGGAGCCAGATGCGAGCGCCTCACTGGGGATGATTCCTCGCCGGCTTCATTCAGCAGCCTCAGCTAATGTACTGCGAACCACCACCTTAAAACTGACCTACTCAGTGGCCAGAGTATTGTCTTCAAAGCCTGGCCCAGGATTTTGTATACAAAACTGCTAGATGCACAATGAAATACCGCAATGCGCAACCATAACCAGAACACATCATAAAACCGGAATCCTCTGCCGTCCTGTTCTGTCAAACATTCTGCCACCAAATATCCTCAAAAACATACAAACTGCAAGGGGCGTTTTACACGTGTTCTTGTCAACGACAACCATCAACCGAGGCTCTAACAATGTACCTCGCTGCCGACGCAAGTCCCGATCTCCCGTCTGGGATTGCACACTGTCAACATCCTTTAATCTCACCCAGATCCATGGAGAATGCAGGCTAACAGAGAGGAACAATGCGGAGATCCAGAATAAACACCTAATTTTAAACCCAAACATCGCATACACCTCGTTTTCTGACATTCTTAGACACTGGTGTGACCATCAACAGCATCGCAACATCAACACGCATCTCCTTAAAATGGAATATTAAAGACGAGTCACGATGCGACTGTGGCCTTGCAACCCAAACCATGGTCCATATAGAAAAACACAAGTCTGCGCTCCGTCATTGGAGGAAGAGTAAAACTAAACAAACTCTCCCCTGAAGCCCTCTCGTGGAGGAGACCTCGACATTGGGGCATTTAGCTCATGAACATATTGCCATTTTCGATAAATAGAAGAGCGATATCGGAACCAGCCTTGGGCCCCAGCTTCCTTAGCCAACCAACACTGATGTTGTGTGGCGTCCTTCATCCAAAAAAACCGAGTTTTTCATATTTTTCCAGGCTTCACCTTGGCTTATGTTACACTTGCTATTTATTACAAGTGTAACACGTTCGTTCATAACATCGTGGCCTTAAAAGAATAACATATAACTGCTGACGTATCGGACAATGGTCCCTTGTAAAATAACTCTTATCGCAACCTGATTATCACCTGGTAACGTACGCGTATCGTGTTTGCGCTCACACGCCCCATACCATAAAGTTATATAGAGACCTTCCAACTACTCCATGGGCCATTCTTGGCGTGCGTTCGTGACGAGGCTAAAGGCAACTGTGCAATTCGTGTGGCTCTGTTGTTACCGCCCTGATCAAAAGTCTAAGACCTCTTTCGTTATCGTTCGGCAATTGTGTTTTGAGACGCAGTCAGACTGACAGCGCCCTGCGATTGTTGCCTTAAGGCTCATAGCAGTCGGACTCTGCTTCTGGACTTTGCTGTAAGGTTGTTAAGACTCGCCCGAATGCCGACTCGCTGTGTACAGGGCCTGAGGGGGGGGGGGGGGTGAGTTGTGAAGGTCTCGATCGTTTTTTAAAAGTCAACAACAACAACAATGTTCACGTGCCAATGTCAGGGGGCCTTGGGGGCCCAACTACACAGAACTCGACGGGACCCAGCAGGCCCGTGCACATGGCATCGGCGTCTCCAGCCTACTCTTAAAGCTGACACATCATTCGAGCTTGCGTTTCGCTGTAACGTGAGGTAGTTTGTTTGTTTTTAATCGGTAACAATTAACCACAGTCACCAGAATCTGCGTGACGAGACGACCTCCAGATTTGAATCATCACGCACAAAGTCTCCCCCCACCCACCCTACATCATAAAGATACCGCGATTACATTTCACAACACGGACGCGCGCCCGCCGCGTTCCATTGGCTGCGCGACTCACCACGTGACGCCCCCCAGCCAACGAGAAGCGCAACAACCAGACGAGGTCGCCTATGCGGGCTGCGAAATCTAAAGCCGACCGTTAAAACAAAATGACCCCAACGCGCGCGCTTTTGCGAGCGACAGAGGCGCAGATCGACGACGGCGGCGGCGGCAGCGAGGAGAAGCCGCGGCTTCGTTGCCCTCGACGACAAGTTAAACAACAAAACAACACCGCGCGTCCCGCTCACCGCTCGACGCCGAGTCCTGTCCCCCTTATGAGGAGCCGTCAGTTGCACGGCTTCTTTTTGGCAGTTCCGCTCGGGGTTTGTCGGGGCAGTGGCGGTGAGGGGGGCAGTGGTGGCGGCGGCGGCGGCGTCGTCGTTGGGAAACAAAGAAACCCTCGTGGAGAAATCGAGAACGCCGCGGAACGATGTTTACGGCGAACCGGTTGCGCAGGGATGGCGTCACTCTGCGTTTTGGTGGCGCGTTGACGTTTGACGTTGGGGGGGGGGGGGTTGTGGAGCAGTGACGTCACTTGTCGTCTGACGGTGACGTCACTGCGTCACTTCGTGTTTTGTGGAGCGTTGTCGACGCTGGGGGCTTGTGGAGCAGTGACGTCACTTGTCGTCTGGCGGTGACGTCACTGCGTCACTTCGTGTTTTGTGGAGCGTTGTCGACGCTGGTGGCTTGTGGAGCAGTGACGTCACTTGTCGTCTGACGGTGACGTCACTGCGTCACTTCGTGTTTTGTGGAGCGTTGTCGACGCTGGGGGCTTGTGGAGCAGTGACGTCACTTGTCGTCTGGCGGTGACGTCACTGCGCCACTTCGTGTTTTGTGGAGCGTTGTCGACGCTGGGGGCTTGTGGAGCAGTGACGTCACTTGTCGTCTGGCGGTGACGTCACTGCGTCACTTCGTGTTTTGTGGAGCGTTGTCGACGCTGGGGGCTTGTGGAGCAGTGACGTCACTTGTCGTCTGGCGGTGACGTCACTGCGTCACTTCGTGTTTTGTGGAGCGTTGTCGACGCTGGGGGCTTGTGGAGCAGTGACGTCACTGCACTAGTTTGGAGACGAGTGGCGCGTCTCTCGCGCGTGAGGCATGACGTCACTCGTACGGCAGTGGCGTCGCGGCATCCGGTTGAGCAGTGATTGCGTCACTCAATGTTGAGTGAAGCGTTGACATTGGGGTTGTGGAGCAGTGACGTCACTGCACTGGTTTGGAGACAGTGGCGCGTCTCTTGCGCGTGAGGCACGACGTCACTCGTACGGCAGTGACGTCACGGTCAGCTTGTGGGCGATTTCACTTTGTAACAAACAAACAAAATTGTTCCTGGGTAGTAAGTGTTATTTCCTAATTGCTTATGCCTCAAAAGTACATACAATAGCTATTATTCCCCACACATTTTGCTTTTGTGACCAGGACAGTGGTATTTTGAAAAAGCAAAGTTTGTGGGGAATAATAGCCATTTTCTATACTTTTTAGGCATAAGCAATTAAAAAATAACACTTAGTACCCAGGGGATTATTGTGTCCGTCATGCAAACCCATTTGTGCAGACGTTCAAGGGCGTGGGTTTTCTTCGGTGGCACAAACATCCCGGTGCAAGGGACACTCCTGTAAATAAAACACATTCCTGCGGAGGGGGCTGGTAGGAACGTCGGGTTGTTTGGTCAATGGCCAGGGTCAACGACGGCGTGGTGTATTCCGCAAATATGCCCGACTGTGAGGGCGGGCACAAGCCGGCGTGAGTAGGTTAAACGTTGAGTTTTATAAGGGCACCACGGGGTGACCAGCCCCTCCCCACCCAGCCCCACCCTTCCCACCCAGCCCCTCCCCACCCTCCCCACCCTCCCCTCTCCACCCAGCCCCACCCCACCCTCCCCTCTCCACCCAGTCCCACCCCTCCTATTTTTGGATGCACGACGGACGGACGGACACAATAATCCCCTGTGGGCTGGTGGAACCAGGTGGTTCCTACCAGTATAAAGATCTGATTCTCATATCCAAACCGCGCATCGAATGGGATGTTACGCAGCACTGCCATCTGCTGGCTACCTCAGCTATAAGCCCTTATACAAGCCCTGTGGTTATCCCAAGTTCTGTACTGGACAGTCCTCAAGTGATTCCTTGGTAATTGGTCACTGATAGGGTGCTCATCTCATATTTTTGACAGCCCTGCAGAGCCAGTGGTGGAAATTCCACATTGATATGGTGGGGGTCGAGTTTTTCCATGGGACGACCACTGTTGACCTATCCGCAAAGCGGTACAGTACTTGTTCTAAGTCAACCCCCAGTCAGGATTTAAACTCGCAACCTTGCAATTGCAAGCCGTTCACTCAACCACTGAGATTCTAAGGCAGTGTTTTTTCACTCATTCTCAGAGGGGGCCACTTTCTCCGATAAGACATTATCAGTGTGAGGGCCACCACGCATTTGAAACCATTGGGGTTTGGCAGCACAATGACGGGCGGTGTTTTCACTTGTTGTGTATTGTCGGGGGCCGCACTAAAGGCCATCAAGGGCCACCAGTGGCCCACGGGCCTTGCAATAAAGAACACTGCTTGAAGGTCTGACAAAAACAACACATTTATCAACAACACTGCCTGCGATATATATATAATAGGCAATGTTTTGGACATTAGTCTAAGTCTGACAATATCGGGCACAATGAAGGTAATTTAATCACAGGCGTTTGAGACCATATCGGTGACGTTCTCACGTCAAAAAAAGTGCAATTTTTGCATTTCAATGGAGACCTGGTTTCAAATATAATAACACGTTGAAATGTAAATAATAAATTACGACAGTGTGACACTTCGTAAGAATCATGACAGTAACATTGGTGGGAAATCTCAGGCATTCGCAACATTTATTGAAATGACACATAGGTTATTTTTTTAAGGACACGGCACTGCGGAATAGGGACGAGCCAAGATGAAAAAAACAGCCAAGACCATTTGGTGGACGTATTGCGTTCACAGAGAACGCGGCAACTGGGCACGCAGGAACGGAACAAATCTTTTCGACAGAAAGGCATTCGCTTTTAAGTGCACTTAAAATGTTTGAAACCTACTACCTTAAAAATGTAATCATTTTTAAGAGTTCCGTACACAACGACACTTCATTAACATCGTGTAAAATTGCTTGCAAGCTGCCTACAAATGGATACTATTAAGCCAGAATCTCGCAAGTGGGCATGAACGCAGGCCACTCGTCACTTTTCTCCCCAAGGCAGATAAATTAATCAACGGAATGAATAGAAAATGTCATAAAACTACAGTATGTCCAAATATGCGGTCGCCATCTCCTTAATGCATGCGCATGCAGACTAGTTATTAGCTTTATCACGGGAGCTACCCGACTGACCACAATGATATCTAAGCTACAATTATAAAGGAACCGAGCTCTGCAGCGTGTTTTCCGGTCGCACACCGTGTGTTGTTTGGCGTGCAGTGGACATTCAGATCCTGAAGAAGCTCCCAAACGTTGGACATCATGCCGAACAACACGCGGAACAACACGAAAACACACCGGACAGCTGAACAGTACAACAGTGAACACCTACGCAGCAGCACAATTTAGAGTTACCTTGCCGTATGTCCAATGTGGATTTTGGCCTTTGAAATAAAAATAAGAAACAACGTGAAAATGTGAGTGTTGCATTCTTAAGGTGTTCGTCAAATACCGTAAAGCACAATGACGACTTCAATGCATATTACCCGCTTTGATGTATGGGTCAGAAACACAGACATCGACTTAGAAAATGGTGCAAAAGCTGAGCAGTAAACAAAAAGACCGCGTGTGGAATTAAACTAAAGAGGACACGTGAATTGGGGAACAGAGACATCAAATGGAGTGTTAATGAAAGTGGGCTTTTGGCAGAACACATTGCAATAAAGGATAGAAGAGACTGGTGATGGGAATGGCAGCTAAAGGGGTAAAAAAAACACACACACGAGAGGATGACTACCAAGGAGAAGGATTGATGAGATCGGTTCACGTGGAGGCATGCGATGGATTGTGGCATGAGGGATGGCGTCCTTCATCCAGCAGTGGATAAATGGCTCATGATGATGAAAATAAATCACGTCTCCTTTCCTAATGACACTTTGCGAGCTGAAGGGATGTGATTTAATAATGATTCTTACCTTTTGAAAATCGCGTGCAATTACACAAATGTACAACACTTCTGCAATCCCTAAGGGGGTCATGCCTCAGTTTGGTCTCGTTTATATGCAACATTTATACATATACAGTATTGCATTTAGTTTAGAATGCAGTGACCCAGCTACATTAAATTTGGTATTCTGATACAGATAATGCCCTGTTCCTTCTGGACACAGTTCAACGCAAAACCAGGAGGGAGCAGTGGCGTGGTGGTTACCGCACCGCTTGTATAAACCCGGCGACCTGAGTTTGATTTCCGGCCAGTCAATATCGAACCTGGTCCTGCCTACCACCTCACCACATCTTCACCAACCCACAGTGTGAGCAGTGTGGTGAAGCATGTTCAAGAATCCCATGACCAAACCAGGTGTAGGGGAGGTCCTCACCCAGCAGAGGGTTGACAGAGGTCTGTTATTATGTGAACTTGTGTCACGAATTCCATTCAAATGAAATGTATTGAATTAATATTCGTATTTCATTATTACTTTATCATGTAAAACAACTGGCCACCTGCGGCCCAGGGCTAGATTCATGGAGGGGAGGGGGGGGGGGACTGAGGGGGTGCAAACGGGCCAAAAACGCCAGGTGAGGCCCATAAAAATACATGGCATTTTTTGAAACCATTTTTGTTGATTGGGTCTTTTGTCTGTCTTCATGTCGGAGGCAGGCAAGTAGATAGCGGGCAAAGGGGTGTCTTAGAAGTCAAGGTACCTGAATCCGGCCCTGCCATGGCCAACACCAAATTTGCTCCATGGGCGAATTGTCAAACAGCTTTCGCCGCAGAATACCTACCATATGTGGAGATGGTCGAATCGACAAGCGTGAAACATCACCACCGTAGCCAAGGCCACTCAGCGTCCGCTTCGTTCATCGGCTGCCCTGGAGGCCCTCGCCAGCAGCGGGCGGCTTTCGGTGGACAGGGATGGCTGGCAGGACGCGCCGCGTGGAGCGGAGGGGCTCTCCGAGTGCCGACAGCGATCCGGTCGGTGGGAGCCACGGGTGGCTCAGCTCGGAGGAGGCAGTCATGGGCGCCAGCAGAGTCAGCCTGGCCAGGCCCACGTCCAACCCTGGGTAAGAGTTTGGCATGGCCTTGCCGAGACCCGAGTCCGATTGGCTGTGCCTCATGCTCGCGCCGTCCAGCTTCAGCCCCCCGGAGCTGAGCCTCGTTAGGTTGGAGTCTGAGCTGAGCACGGGCTTGAGCTGGCTTGGGCCGCCCTCAGCTTTTAACCCAAGCCCGAGATGGCTGAAGCAGGCCTCGGCGGCGTTCCCCACACCGCTCAGCCTGCTCAGGCAAGGGTCAAAGTGAGGCGTGGGGTTGAGTCTGCCGAAGCCCGATTCGTGGTCCGGCAGAGGGCCGAGCACTAGCTTGTTTGGATTGACGGCCACGGGCGAGGGAGGCCTTTGGCAGGCATTGGTACCGGCAGCGCCCACCCTCGCATGGCCCAGGGCATCGGGGAAGGACCACGAGGAGGAGGACGAGGAGATGTAGGAGGGCGTGAGGGGCAGTGAAGGCGACTTGGTGATCCCGGGCAGCTTGGCCTCGAGAGGAGCTTTGCACAAAACAGAGCGGGACGATCGTTTGAAAACGTTGCGTAAACTCAGTGAGCAATGAAAACAGATTCCTACGCCGAGTTTAACATTCACGCAATGTATGCACATCTCCTGGTTTTTTTGGTTTGCAGTAGAGTCCCGATGAAAACAATAAGCGCATATATCTTAGTAATATAAAGCCTCACTGCACGTAGGTTGTAGACTAGACTTTGTACTGTTTATAAATCGAGTGTCAAATACTCATTTTCATTCAGGGGTGGAGTAGCGGCTATCATCAGTGCCAAGTCACATGAGAGAATGGTAAATTGGCAAACCAGATAATCTGCCCACCGATAATCAAGGGTTGGATGTACATGCAACCTTTCTATTAAAAAAACTCAATTGTTTCAAGTTTTTAAAAGGTCATCTATCTCTCTACATTTATATGATGCTGCTAAGGATGTTAGGCCAGGTCTAAGGCCATTTACTTTTGGAAAGTAGGCTTCCTGGAAGAGTTGATAAGCTTCGTCGAGGCAGCATGGATTCCTTTGATTGTCCTTTGGGCTGTACCTGAGGGTCCGGGTCTCCTGTGAACACACGTCATCCACAAAGACGATATTGTGCATCCAACACCCCGTGACATTTCTCCACAGCAACGAGCACAGAGACTACAAATGCCCCTTGAACTACCACACTTTTAAAATCAGCACACTCAGATGATTAATTACAACCTGTGCTGGGTGGGTACAGGGCTGGTAGGTACGCAGGCAGGTAAGAGTACGACGGTTTCCTGCTCCCGTTCAGGAGGGGCGGCGGCTGCGTTGGCGGCGGCGGCGGTGGCGCATTGCTGCTGCTGGGGGCTCCGCGTCTCCCCGGCCTTGCCCAGCTCAGCTCCCTGGGCCCCTCCGTAGCTCCCGTGCCCAGACGCGCGGCCTTCCCGTCAAACAGATCGTGCTCGCTCCGGCTCTTCCGTGAGCACGTGCCGAGCAGTAGCCGCCCCGCCACCGCCGCGGTCGTGGCGGTGGCCGCGGCGGCCGCCGCCGCCGAGCTTCCAGTGAGGGCGCCGAACCGGGCCGCCTGCCCGTCGCATTGCTCCGCCGCCACGGCCGGCGACGACGGCGTGGCGGTGGCCGCGGTGCCGCCGCCCGCCGCACCGGACTCGTGCGTCGGCAAGGAGCTGCCGAGCGTGATGGGGGGCAGGCTGCGCGTGCGAGCGGGGAAGGTGCCCCTCGCCGTGATGAAGGAGCCGAGCACGAGCCGCCCCTGCGCCCCGCACTGCTTTCCCCAGCCGGGGCAGGTGGCCACGTGAGCTCTCGCTTGCGTGTTCACGCTCGTGTCCTCGCGCGTGCCCTCGCGCGTGCCCTCGTGCGCGGCCGCAAGCGCGCTCGTGCCGTCTGACGGGTCCTTTCGTGCTCCTCCGTCGAAGGTGGCGATGATTTCGTCGACCTCGAAGGTTTCGTTGCGAGCGGGCAGGCGCGCGTCCGGCGCGTCCGGCACGTCGCCGCCACCGCCGCCACCGCCACCGTCACCGCCGCCACCGCCACTGCCGTCACCGCGCTCCGTATCCTTCTCCTTCTTGCTCCCACGGCTCCGCGAGAAGATCTTGTTGAGCACTCGGAAGCGGCCGTCGCGACGCTGCTCGCACGCCTCCCGCGACGGCGTGGCGATAGCCGCCGACTCGGCCCTGTGGCGCCGTGCACGCAGAGAGCAAAGTGTCACCTCACAAATTTGTACAGTGGGTCGACGATGGGGCGTAAATGTCCACGTTGATTTAGGCGAATGAACCAAACGAGAGAGGCGGTGCAAGGAAGTATTTGAATATATGCTGCCAAAGACAGATGTCAAAAAGCACTGTGCAATCCATGCGTAGGAATGCTCATTCCTGCAATTGAGACGGACAAAACAAATTTGAAAAGCAGGGTGTACTGGATACTTGTTACAGAAGGATACAGCCTCTAAGCTGGACCAGAAAAGTGACCAAATAGAGAAGAAAAAAGGTTGCACATAGAAGAAGACCTGATGCAGGCAGTGATGCATTTGTAGGAGGGACAACAGGAACATTCAAAGTTTGTTGCTCAGAAAAGTTGAAGGAACCGTAAAGAGAGGAAGACCCAACAGAGAATGGCTTGACGACGACAGAAGAGTTTGGTGCGAGAAAGACGCGGCACTATTTGAGCGTATTGGCACAAGACAGGGGGGAAGGTGGAAACGAATGCCAAAATGTGCAGTGGACACCTTCGGGCTATCTGCCCATGGATCGTGACGATGATGAGGGCGTATTAGACACCCGGTACAAATGGCATAGACGTTACAAGCGAGACAGCCAAAACACACAAGGCGGACAGCACAATACGAGGTAGGCCGGACACAAGAGACAAATTTAACACGTAGGCTTTCGCGACCAATATTATTCATAATATATTATTCATAATCAACGTTTTTGGGTTTAGATCGCGTTATTTATAACCCTAAAACGTTGATTATGAACACGAGACAAAGACGGGCAGTACAAATGAAATAGACGCTCCAGATGAGACAAGACAAGACGAATCTCGATTTAAAGCTTTCGTGACTGCAGGGATTCATCTTCTTGGTTCTTTCGGTAAAGTCACGTAGAAGGGAAGTAATAAAATAATAAAAATAAAACATAATAAAACAATTCTCACGACGTGTCGGCCACAACGCAAGCAGCCGTCTCAGGCGCGTGAAAAACCAGGTCCGTCGAGGCGACAGAGTCTGAAGTTCAGACTCTGTCGCCTCGACGGACCTGGTTTTCACCTGAGGACGGCTGCTTGCGTTGTGGCCGAAACGTCGTGAGAATTGTTTTATTATGTTCTATTTTTATTATTTTATTACTTCCCTTCTACGTGACTTTACCGAAAGAACCAAGAAGACAAGACGAATCGCGCAGGGCGGCCGCGGGGCCCGATGGCTTTGTGCCCGCGCGCACCTGGGCTGCGTCGAGAGCAGCTTGACGCATTCCGAGTGGTTGCAGTGCACGGCGTAGGAGAGCGGCGTGTTCTCGCTGATGTCACTCGGGCTGGGGTCCACGCCCAGTGCCAGCAGCACCTCCACGCAGCTCTCTCGGCCGGCCGCTGCGGCCCAGTGCAGAGGGGTCCTGTGGTGGCAGGGGTGGGGCGGCAGGGTGTGCGCCCCGCAAAGCACGAAATCTATTCAACTATTTTTAATTTTCTTGGTTCTTTCGGTAAAGTCACGTAGAAGGGAAATAATAAAATAATAAAAATGAAACACAATAAAATAATTCTCACGACGTTTCGGCCACAACGCAAGCAGCCGTCCTGCGTTGTGGCCGAAACGTCGTGAGAATTATTTTATTATGTTGAATTTTTTTTATTTTATAATTTCCCTTCTACGTGACTGCAGTCACGAAAGCTTTAAATTGAAATTTATATTTTATGTATTTTACCAGGTAAGACCCACGCACAAGCGTAATTAAAAAAAACAGCTCGTTTTCCAGAAGCACCTTGGCCACAAATGATAGCTCAACGAATTGGCTTATCGCGTGGAAATTTCTAGCGGCAGCCAAATAAACTGAACGCACGATGTTGATTCTAAATGTGGAGGGAAACACCGGAGGGCCCGGAGAAAAATCCACGCGGGGAGAGAGGCACGCAAACTCCAAATAAGCAGCAGGTATCAGGGTCGGAATCGAAGCCACGACCTCCTGCACACCAGGCGAGGGAGTTAACATCTCCTAGCCAATGTGATGATGATGAGAGAGAGACACGCAACCTCCAAATATACAGCAAGTATCAGGGTCGGGATCGAACCTACGACCTCCTGCACACCAGGCGAGGGAGTTAACATCTCCTTGCCAATGTGATGATGATGAGAGAGAGACACGCAAACTCCAAATATACAGTAAGTATCAGGGTCGGGATCGAACCTACGACCTCCTGCACACCAGGCGAGGGAGTTAACATCTCCTAGCCACCGTTTCTGGCTCGCCACGTGTTGCGTGGCTGTCGAACCGCGACGTTTACGACGGCGCGCGGAAGGTTCTGTCGCGTGTTTGAATCGTTCACCTTCGCGAAATTATTTCATTTTTTTGGATTCTCATTTAGATGTGCAATTTTTGGATGCCATGCAGACGTACTGAGAAATGATCTGCATTGGCTTTTGTTTAATTGCGAGCTCCAGGTGTGGCCTTTATGGAACAAATTGAAGAGCACCAGCGTAATCAAAATGACTCTTTCAGCCGAGGCTTCTTCTTATAAATTGTATAGACCCATCTGTTGTTTATCACGTCAGCGGCCACAGGCCTATTTCCACCTCATTTCCCAGCCCTTTCACAATCATCAGCTTCACGCGTATAATTGCCGCTGGTTAGCAACACAGGAGAACATTAATTTCTCAATAAAATTTAAGGAAAATTTCTCACTAAAAAAACAATCGCCTTGTTTCTTTGAACGTTGATGGAACTAGGCATTCCAATTTTTACGGAAATTACCGGGATAAAGAAAATGATCCCCTCGTCACAACATCTGCAATCAATTCTTCCCGCTTGTCTCTAGGCAACCGGGATTCTTCTATGTTGAGGTTTTTTTTGTCAATTCTCCAGACGGTGTGAGCCACGGGGAAGGAAGGCAGATTTAGTAAAACCTGAGGAGGGCTCCTTTTCCTAAACAGATCTGAGTCCCGACGAGTAGTCTGTGAGTCACTGCCATTCCCACTCGTACAATAAGCAGCTTAATCACCCACCCACTTATCCATTCATTTGGCACCTCTGATTCACGCGGTTAGCTTTTGTACAATGCGAAAGAAGTTCAACATACATAAACCATCCACCCATTTGCTCACCCACCTATTCGTTAATCTGTTTACCAAATAATCCACCCATCCGCTCACCCACCTAATAATGAATCTGCTAATACACTCACGCATTCACCTAGTCATCCACTCACCCACTCACCAACTCTGTTTCGCCGTGTATCCACTTCCTCACTCACCCGCTCACCCCATCTTATGCATTTGTCTGCTCAGCCACTCATCTACTCACCCGTTCACCAGCTCACTCATCTGTTTCACCATTTATCCACTCGCTCGCTGACTCAACCCACTCACCCACGCACAGTCAACCCACTCACCCGCTCACAAAATCAACCCGCTCACCCACTCACAGTCAATCCGCTCACCCACTCAACCGACTCACTCCAACTCACCCCATCTCACCCACTCATCCACCCACTCGCTCACCCACTCATCCACCCACTCGCTCACCCACTCATCCACCCACCCACTCGCTCACCCACTCATCCACCCACTCGCACACCCACTCATCCACCCACTCGCTCACCCACTCATCCACCCACCCACCCACTCGCTCACCCACTAATCCACCCACCCACTCGCTCACCCACTCATCCACCCCCTAGTTCTCACACTCATCCACCCACTCGCTCACCCACTCATCCACCCACTCGCTCACCCAATCATCCGCCCATCCACTCGCTCACCCACTCATCCACCCACTCGCTCACCCACTCATCCACCCACTCGCTCACCCACTAATCCACCCACTCGCTCACCCACTCATCCACCCACTCGCTCACCCACTCATCCACCCACTCGCTCACCCACTCATCCACCCACTCGCTCACCCACTCATCCACCCACCCACTTGCTCACCCACTCATCCACCCACTCGCTCACCCACTCATCCACCCACTCGCTCACCCACTCATCCACCCACCCACTCGCTCACCCACTCATCCACCCACCCACTCGCTCACCCACTCATCCACCCGGCGTGCCTCCCTCCCCTCCCATCCCGCCCGCTCCCCCGCTGCCAACCTATCGTCGACGTCCAGGGCCTGCAGGTTGCACTCGGGGACGCGCGCGAGCAGCGCGATGATGGCCGCGTGTCCGGCGGCTGCGGCGACGTGGACGCACGTCTTCCCGTTCTCGTCGTCGTAGTTCACGACGGAGGGGCCCAGCCGGTGCTGCAGCATCAGCTCGCACGACCGTTCGCCGCCGTTCTGAGCGCGCCGCACGCGGGCGAGGGTGAAAAGCGCGCATAGTCCGGCACAACAACAACAAAACCTCGCGTGAAATGTCCCCCTTTGCAAAGCTCTTCTCCGACTCGGGTTTAAGATGTTCACGAGGTTAGCATCGTCCGTCTGTCCGAAATGAAGCGGGGGTGGGGGGTTGTAGGTGCCTGCATGGGGCACGATGACTCCCCACCAAGACGATCCAACAAGGACGAACCTGTGACCTAGAGTGCTGCTCATATTAGGGATTCACCCAAACTCTAAAACTGACCAAATTTATCCAGACCAGAGCAAAAAACAACGGCGCTTTTAAACCATGCACAAGCGCTAACAAGCTACCCATGACACATTACATTCTTCCAAAGACAAACGGAAGTTGGAAAGCACGATATAGTCCTTTGGTAAGAATAATTTTCACAAACTGCTTTTTGTTTCCAAGAGGACGTGAAATACGAGAAATCTAGATAATCGGAAGTGGATCTGCGCACCGCTGTTTTTATTGTATAAAAAGTAGCTGACCGCATGAACAAGCGCACATTTTTATGAAAAAACCAAACTCATAAAGAGGGTGCCACTGCTCGGAATATCATCTGATTAGATTTGATCGAAATCAACTCACCAAAAATGTGCCTGATCTTGTCAGTATGCTGAAGCCTGGTTAGTACTTATACCGGTGACCATCTGGGCTTGCCAGATGTTGTAGGCATGGGGCAGCGATGTTTGGCCAGGAGATTTACAATTCTGAGTATTACCCCCTCGCACACCTGGGGTGGATTTCCTCAGGTTTTTTTCCGGTTTCCTTCCACAAATATCCAAACACTCATCACCGGTCTTGTCCAAACATCTCAACGTAGTCAAACGCTTCAGAAAACGGGTACTTGTAGACTCAGCGAGGCTATCCTCGGTATATATATAAAATATATATATCTTCTTGGTTCTTTCGGTAAAGTCACGTAGAAGGGAAATAATAAAATAATAAAAATTAAACATAATAAAATAATATAATAATACTTTTTATTCTTTTTAAATGTTTAAATGTCATTATTTAATTATTTCCCTTCTACGTGACTTTACCGAAAGAACCAAGAAGATGAATCCCTGCAGTCACGAAAGCTTTAAATCGAAATATATATATTTAAAAAAAACGGCAACGATTTTTTTCGTCAGCAGGCACCGCAAAGACGGCAATCACCGCGCAACCACGCGGCAGGCCACGCTCCGTCGCGCAAAAGCGCCACATCCTGGCAGCCGCCCTAACCCGGCAGTTGCCACGGCAGCACCTGTATCGACCCGAACCCGCCCGCCACCTGGCCCCGTAATCTACTCCCCAGAGCTGAGGGCAGACCGTCTGGTTGTTTACTGTTCGTCTGCCTGCCGTGGGCCGGTCGGTAGGGTAGCCGCCTGTCCTGGTTTTCCCAGGATCGTCCTCCCTCTCTCTTTTAGGTACAGCTATCCTGGGAAATCTCTTAAGTCTTTCCAGGGATATTAAGAGTCCCGACGTTTTGTCAGTTGCGTCGAAGTACACCGCTCAAGACTGTGCATTTAAACGCGGCCCTCTCGTCTTCTGGTATCATGAGTCTCGTGGCAAAATTTTCTAAAAGATTCATCCTGTTGCAACACGATGGTGGAGAAGTAAAAGTTTGGATGGTTACAAAAGATGGCTCTACTCATCAGCTTTCAGGAAGGGTATGTTGTGTTCATCGAATGGTCAATAATCTATAATTTCAAGAGAAAATCTGGACAGCGTAACTGAAAATTATGAAAATGGGCACATCATAAATTTCGAAAAAATATTTTAATCGTTATTTATATTTTATTGCCATGACATGTCCGGGTTTTTTGTACCTCAGAGGTGGCAACCCTCCCGGTTGGCCATGCCTGATCTGTAGGCCTCACCTGTGCGGCCCAGTGCAGGGCAGTCTTGAAGTCCTTGTCCACCAGGCTGGGGTCGGCGTCGCGCTCCATCAGGGCCTGCACGTGCTCCGGGTGGTTGTGGAACGCTGCCCAGTGCAGCGTCGTCATTCCCTGTGGAGCGGCGGCAGCAGAACGAGACGGGCAATTAGCGAAAACGGGGAAAGATGGTGACCAGAAAATTGTCCCAGTGCATCGTGCCCTCAAAGCAGTTTTCTTACTGATGGCCAAATAAAACTTTCAACCACAGTTGGAAGGCAACCGCAAGTTCACACACCTCAGTCACTTGTCACTGCCAGAGGTCCTTTAAATGACTGAGCACTGGAATAAAAAAAAAACTGTTTCCAGGTTGAAGATATCCCCCTATAGCACCCGATTAGTGCCGCTTAGATGCGTGCTAGTGATTTGTAAATATAAATTAGCAGGCTGATGTCAAGTAGTAGGCCTCATGTAGCCGTGGCCTTTATGAAATAAAGTTATGGGTCGGGTAGAGCCTATCGACTGAATGAGACCTGTCCAACAAGGCCGGATGACACCTGAAACCAGAGTTGGCTGTTGTCATGGGGTCATGAGGGTTTCCGAATTTTGTGGAAGATTAATGTAGCTATGTGGAGGGCCTGTACAGCAGGGAGTCTCGCTGGCTAAGTAATAATAATACTTTTGTTCATTTACAAGCAAAGCCTCATTGAGATGCAGAACTAATTTTCAACATCGGCTGGGTGGGGGGTCCAGCATTGGAAGGTATGGCCAACTCCTTTTTAATGAGTGGTTTACGTGAAGGAGGGAACACAGAGAAAACCCACACATGTGAGCGGGTAATACTCAAAAGTCACCGTAATATGATTACGATTTGCTGCACTGCAATCTGCCATCCATCTTGCAACACGGTGGATGTGGGAGCTTCAAAAATATATGCAACAAAGCTCCGCGCGTCCGTGACCCACCAATCCTTGCCAACAAGATTCTGGATTACAGCAAGTGACCAGCATGTTGTAATTACATCGTGTAGAGTGCCTTGCAAAGTCAGTGGCAAGTCAGGTTCTGGCCCGTCCCCAGGTCACTGTTTTTGACCGACTGACTCCGATGAGGGAACATATACAGTAATTCACTCTAGAAATTCTTGCTAACTGCTGAATATGATACTACATCAACGGCTTGTTTTTTTTGTTGCTCTATCCGCGCCTCAAAGAGTTATTTAAAAAAAAACCACGTCAAAAGCCCTTTAACAAACAATGGCTCTCATGTTTGAATTGTAATTTTTACATGTTTGTGTTTCCCGTCTCAATTTTCGACCACGCTTGTGCCTGCCCACCAGCCCTTTTACCTCCGAGCGTGCAACGGCCACACGCATTGGCGTGGCTATTGAACGTCTACGCGGTGCAAGTGCACCGGGACCCATGGGCTGAAAGGGCCCAGGCGCTGGGCTACAAAGACTGGAGAGATTGGACGGGGAGCCCCGTTTCATTCCTTGCCCATGCCCACCACGCCATGCTGCTTGCCACCCGTCCCTCACCTCGTTGTCTTGATGGTTTATCTCTTGCACGGACGACTGCTGCAGAAGAACGTTGAGCGTCCTGTCAAGACAAACATGCCGTCCATGTAATTCTAGATTTGAAGCTTTCGTGACTGCAAGGATTTATATGCTTAGGTTTTTTCGGTAAAGTCACGTAGGTAAAAAGTTACAATAAAAATTAATAAAAGTAAAATAAAATAAAAATCACGACGTTTCGGAGGCAACACAAGCTTCCGTCACAGCACGATTGCTGTATCAAGTAAGACTTACTTAATACAGCAATTGTGCTGACGGTTCCACCTGAAGACGGAAGCTTGTGTTGCCTCTGAAACGTCGTGATTTTTATTTTATTTGTATTTTATTAATTTTTATTTTTTACCTACGTGACTTTACCGAAAAAACCTAAGAATATGCCGTCCATGCACAAGAACACACGTTGAAATACAAAACAAAGATCCCCCGTATAGCCTGTAACAGACTTTTGGGGCAATTGCTGTTAGCGAGCACCTATGAAGGTCGCAACGGTACACGAGGGGGTGGGTGGGCCAGCACCACGCCCGACCGCCTTTGTCTCCCTAGTGGCGATGTTTACACACCGCACCAGGTACTCATTTGAGGCTGAGTCGACCTAGGGGAGGCCCAGGACTGGTTCCGATAATCGTCACTGGTGCTGGTGACCGAGAGCAGGAATTGAACTCGGGTAGCCGGATTTTCAGCACGCTAATCGCTAGACTAACCCCCCCAACACACACATACGGGCCTTCTTTAGCCGTATGGACTCTGGAGGTAAGTGCTGTAGCAACAACTGTACCTATTAATACTCAGATACTCAAGTGTCCCTCCCACAAGTCAAACTCTCAATAAATCGTAATGGTCAAACATCACAATGCTGGTCCCTCCTGAAAATGAGTCTCGAGACTTGGCGAGGTATTTTTGGGTAAGTAATTGCCACTTCAATTAGCACATGAAAGCGGCACATCACATGAAGGGGGTCAGTGTAACCCCCTGCAAGCCCCCCACGCCCCCCCACTGGACAAGAAATAGCCATCACAGGTGTTTAACGTCCCCCTTCATTAGGAGCTGGCGTGCTGAGGTGGTGCGACACTAAAATGACTGTATATTTAGAGTTTGCGTGTCTCTCTCTCTCTCCTTGTGGTCGCGTCGATTTTTCTCCGGGTCCCTCCGGTTTATCCCTCCACATTTAGATGCGTTGCGTTTAGAGTATTTGGCTGCTATAAAATATCCACACGATGATAAGCCACTTGGTTGAGCTGTCATCTGAAAAAGAGCTACAAAGGTTACCTAGCAAAACATTTTAAAAAATGTTTATCGATCTTCTTGGTTCTTTCGGTAAAGTCACGTAGGAAGGAAATAATAAAAGAATAAAAATAAAACATAATAAAATTCTCACGACGTTTCGGCCACAATGCAAGCAGCCGTCCTCAGGTGAAGAACAGGTCTGTCGGGAAGACAGCGTCTGAATGATTGTCTTTCGAACAGACCTGTTCTTCACCTGAGGACGGCTGCTTGCGTTGTGGCCGAAACGTCGTGAGAATTATTTTATTATGTTTTATTTTTATTATTATATTATTTCCCTTTTACGTGACTTTACCGAAAGAACAAAGAAGATGAATCCCTGCAGTCACGAAAGCTTTAAATCGAAATTTAATGTTTATCGAGTTTAGTTTATTGCAGGAAGATCAGCGGAAATTGCGGCACGCTTTGTCCGTGCAAACTGTCTCAGTGGCGAGCATATTGACCGCTGGGATTAACCTTTACTCCATCCCAGCAACACAGCCCTGTGCCGTTGGAGAATTGCCTGTGAGGAGGCCAGGGATTAATTAATTGTAATTGTCTTCTCTGGCCAGCCAGGGTATTCACCGAGGACCACGGCAAGCAGAAATAATTTTGAAAAAACCTACGCACACATCTGGGCCGCAGGGGCAAAAACATAAATTCCGCAAATTGAAATCGCGAGGGCCGTTGATGTAATACAATTGCGTGACTTGCTTGACTCAAGGTGGTGGTGGTGGTGGTGGGGGCGTGTGCGAGGCAAAGCCACACGTGAAGGGATAAATAGAGCAAGGACCACAAATGTAACGGATAAATAAATAAAGCCCGTGAGATGTGAGGGTGCGCGATCTGCATCAACAAGGAGCCAGCACGTTGCCAGGGCGACCGAATCCCACGATGAGAGGGTAGCAACCGCTGCCTTGGAGAGAAAAAAAGTCAGATGGCATTGTGATAGCACGCACGCACGCACTGTGAAGAAGACGCCTTCTCGTTTCGATGTCTTTGGATACACGGCGTTACCACGGCTCCCGTATGGTACCGTGGAAGATGCGGCTCTTGCGCTCCGTTAAAAGTGGCCCCCTTTTTTGTAACATGCGTGTTACCGCCGTTTAAACTGAAGCCCTAAAAGCTGAGAAGGTGAAACAGCGAGGAATCCAACGGCGTGACAATTTGTTTTTTTTACAAATGCAGGTTTTTTTTTGGTCCCTATGTATTTTTCATTTTTATTTTATAAATTCGTAGATTGCAAATGCTTTATTGAGATTATTTTAGCTACTTCTAAAGTGAACTGGCAATTTCTAATCTAAAGCTCAAGAAAAAATAATAATTTTACAAAAATCTTTAATTGTTTGTGAGGGACACAGAAGATCTCAATGTTTTGACTGAGTGTCCTGCATTAGGCAATCTTGATTATTTATTGAGGAAATATTATTATCTCCAGTTGGCAAAAGCGTCTCTCTTTGTTTTCAGTGACAGTAAAACACCCTGTCGTGAATTTTAATTAACAACCTGCTGTTCATAAAAAAAAATGTTTGACTTGCCGGTTTAATGTGTTCCAATATTTCTGAATGTGAGAAATTGAATATTTTGTGTCCTTTTAAAAGCCATCTCAAAAACGACTGCTTCATGACAATGTCATCAACGACTGTTGTGAGCACGACATCTTAAAATACGGCCACTAAATGAAACTGTACGCTAACTCGGTAGTAAAAAAACAACACGTCGCTAACCCAATTCGAAAACTGCGTATAAATCTGTTAGAATTGGTGCACGTTTGAAAAACAAATAAACCACGCCGTTGACATATACATATTCCGATGTGCGGAAAACTACGCAGCAGATGAATAATGAATAGGCAAACCGTTGGGTCGAGCAGCCGCCACTACGAAGACAAAGGTTAAAGGTCACGGGCGTAGTCAACAGCAGCGTGTTCACGGTATCCATCGACGGGCGGCCCGCAGCTAATTTGGGAGTTCCTAGAAAAGGCCGGGAGGGTTTCTGGGAATCTATTTAACCACGGTGACCCGCGCTCACGTAAGAGGAGGCCTTGCGCATGATACGCGACGTCCTCCAGTCCATTTGCATGCAAATTATTTAGCACTCACTCTGTAATCACGCGGAGAAGCTTTCACCAAACGCGTGCTGTGCCGCCGCTCTTACCGGCAAAATATTTTTCACGCGCCAAGGTATTGTTGGATGCCCATTTTTTTGTTGTTACAGTTTTTTTTTTGCTTAAAATATTTTTTAAATCATCGGGCTTGGCATCAGCTCCAAGATGCAAACAAAAATCTGCACGGCGATGTGCGGGGTGTATGTTGGTGTTTTATCGTTATTATTTTGTTGTACAATTCATTTTTTTTTATTTGATAAACTGGTCTCTATCATAGGAATGTGGAATTTCCTGATGAGGGCCACCCGCAGAACAAAACTGCGTAAGGACGCAACTTAGACGTGCGTTGTTTTTGGGCACGCGAACATTTAGGTGCATACTTGTACAATTATTTGAGGAGTCTGCCGCGGTTTAACGGTCAGCAAACTGAAGTGACAATCTGGAGGTCACCGGTTTGATTCAATCTCCTGGCAATGCAGTTGAAAAAATGGTGCAATATTCTTTATTCCACCTTCCCCGCCTCGCCTCTGTCCACCCAGCGGTGTAAGTGGGTTCACCGCAAGCAGATTGCGCGTGGGTTACTCCCACCGCTTCCAAGGCATCTGGCCAATGTGGAAGAGTAGACCAAATACCCAGTTAGAGAGCTTCTCTAAGAGCCCCTTCAAGTGGAGGCCCCCGTCTCAGCAGTGGTGAGAGAAAGTCATTTTCAGAATTGTTCTGTTGTCAAACCTACCGACGGTGAAAAAAAATAACAAGTCACCAAACGGTATTGCTGTTAATTGATGGGGGACTTCTCCTTCTCAAAAATCTACTTAATTGGCTCCGACATGTATAAATAAACAGGCGAGCGAAGAAGCAATTTAACAATGCTGCGTGCACATCTCTCGGCACGGTTAATGTTTTTGCCACTCTCTTTCACCCCCCCACCCCCCGACCAAAGCGTCGCTATAAAAAACGATAATGAAAGGTGAGGCCACTGAAGGTGAGCGCAAATTGCCTCCAGAGCATCGCGGCAAATTCCCTACGCAGTCGCGCCTGCTGCACACACACACAGCGCTCTCGTCCTATTGCACACACACAGCCCGCTTGTCCAAGGCGCTGCTGGACGAGGGCGTCGTCCCTACACCCTGCGGGTGGCGAGGAGGGTTATTTGGGCCGTACTTTACCGCGCCGTGGAAGAGTAGGCCAAATCCCCTTTCGAAACGGTCGCCTTCGCATTTATCGGGACCTCAATAACCTCCCTCGTCATCGCTTGAAGTCACGCGGAGCTCTTTTGGACCCGTGTGCTTAACCTTAACCAATACGAATTTAACCCCAACGTAGCTTGGAAGGCTGAATGGAGTTCAAAAGAATTCACAAACAACGCAAAAGCTCCCAAGCTTTGATCTTCCACGAAGCGCATGGTCCACCCGAAACCACATCCACCACACAAACCATGGCAGACGCAGATACAAATGGAAAATTATAAACTCTCCAGGAGTGTGCGACTGTGGTCAGACCGTACAACGTATAACGACGCAATGCTCCGATCCACAAATACGAAGGAAACATCACAGCTCCTGAAGCGGTTGTCCGGTTTGACCACCTCAATGTGAAATTGAAGTTGTCGCCCTGCATCTACAACAGCAGCCGTACGAAAGAAGAAGACCGCGCCGGTCAGTGCGGCTTGCTGAAGCTGGTAAGCGGGACGGTGGGGAGTGCAGAAAAATAATGAAATCTGCAACACCGCCCTCTGCTGCCCATAACACCTACAACGCCTGTGTGCGTACATGGAGGTCGCCAGCCATGCTCATCCTGCTTAGCTTACGAGGTCCGACGGAATGGGACGTGTTCCAGGTGATTTGCTCACAGGCGCCGCCACACCTTTAAATGATAAGTCGATATATATAACGCTAATTGTCTGCCCGTAATGTGTTGTTGTTAAATGTTTTGAAAGTGAAGGCTGTATCAGCAGGCGTGATTCTTGAGACGCTTCAGCGCCCTGGGTGTGATCTGAGACTCGAACATTTGACCGTGCGTGAAACAGGCACAATTCCCTGGGGTCCTCGAGCCAAGAAATTACCACGGTGCTGTGCCCTCAGACACTCAGATTAAGCGGCTTTATTTTTAAATGCCAAGATGACTATTAGAGCGGCAGTGAATTCACACATGATTTTCTTGTAAGCGTTAGGCTTTCGTTTTCTGAACGCGGTTCCCAACCCCGACATAACTTGCGCAAGTGGGTAGCAATTTAATAATATTTTTTTTGTTTACAGATAAGTTTGATGTGGTGTGGGGGGGGGGGGAATTGCGGGAAATTAAATATCCGATACAATGCAATTGGGGCATCACGGGGACAAAAGTGAATTTTTTAATGTTTTGTTTATCAAGTAAAATCCCAGTAAACATGCAACACTGGGCCAATATTGGTATGGGCATGCGATTGGAACCGTTGGGCCAAAGTTCGGCGCAACGTTGGGGCAACGTTGGCCCAAAATTCCCTGTTTTACAGGGGGTGCAATTTTAATCACACTACGGTAATTGTGTGGCTACACAAGGTGGCAAAGTTGCAAAAGATACGCGTGAAGATCAAGATGTCATCGTAGCCAATGCCGTTGTATCTATGGGACTTTTTTGCAACGAGCGTTCTCAATTCCCACTGTATACGTCTCCAGGTGCCTCCAGCGCCTGTTGATAATTCGTAGAAATGGGCAGTGTGTGAATTAACGTGGGCTTAGTCTTTTTAAAAGAGGTGCCTCCAGTCAAGGTTTTACAGTACTGTATCAATTGCTGGTCTGAATAGGTGAAATTTTCACAATGCTAAATTCATCCCCCTGTGGCTGAATACATGCTGCCTATGGTGATAGCCCTGAAGGAAGTGCACTTAATGGAAAATGTAATATTCCTAGAAGCTTAAAGAAACATCTGAGCCACCAAATCCCCTTTCATCGTCCTCACACAAAGTGTCTTTGTCTATAGTTTTGATGGATTTGCTTTAAGCAAAGTAGCAGATCCGTGGTACAACAGAATACACAAAAAAATGGATCCTAATTATCCAACCATATAAACGATGAAACTGTGAAAAAAATACATTCTTTCAGCTGTAGCATGACTCTTACCGAAATAGATTTAAATTTACACGGCGGCTTTGTGCCACCGGACCAGTCTTGGACACCATGCCGGGATGTGAGGCCAAGGCTGAAGTCGAGAGTGAAATAGACACAAGGCAAAGCCGAGGCCTACAGGCTGGAAGCATTTTATGTTGAGGCCAAGACTGTGTCAAGGCCGCTCGCAATGTGCGATGTCATCGGCTTGGTCAACAAAAGTGTATCCTTTAGTCGCTTGTTTAATCGCCAATTGTTTGGCAATCTCCCGATAAATTTGGCTGGCTTTCTCAAGGCTAAGTCCCTAGTAGCAACACAACTTCATACTAAAGTTTTGTGTTTATTGGACAATTCTAGATTTGAAGTTTTCGTGACTGCAAGGGTCCATACTCTTTGTTTTTTTCGGTAAAGTCACGTAGGTAAAAAAGAAACTAAAAGTTAATGAAATCACGACGTTTCGGAGGCAACACAAGCTTCCGTCTTCAGGTGGCACCGTCACAGCAAAATTACTGTACCTTTTATTGGACAATCTTTACGAGAGGTGCTGTTACTACACCCCCCCTCCCCCCACTACATGTGACGAGTCTGGAACACTCAAGTCTTCCAAGGACACCCAAGGCCGCATCTTGGAGGCCAAGTTCAAGGATGAGAGCAGAGACAATGTCCCCCAGCTGGCCTTGAAGCCCAAGGGCTGGTCTGGAGTACCAAAGAATGCAGCTGATGTACATTAAGCCTGACCATTTTTCTTTACACTCTTATGTATGGGTATAATGTTTTAAGCCTCTTTTTATTTGTACATTCACATTCACAGCCCAAGGCATCGTCATGGCGCATCCCATCTCCAGCGCCTGCTGAAAGCGGGGGCATGTTCCTTGCGCTGGGCTTAATTTCTCACTTAATATTCTCAGGCTCACTAGTAGACTGGGGTAGGCAGTACATAACTAATATCCACAGCTATGGCTGCAGGGTTTTGGTAGTACATGTTGTTTATGCCATTTATTGTGAAAATTCCGTCACAGTTCCTATGATCACTGTTTCATTGCTTTCATGGCTTTATTTTGGTGATTTCGAAAAGTGTATTGGTTTAGCCATGTGTGTTTGTTGTAGTACAGAGTTAGACTGATGGCCTTAATCTAAGTTGTCTTGTGGTTGTTGTTGGTTGTTTGACTTGCATCCCACTGGGATTTTTGCACATTTTTGTGTACGGTGTTTTTTCTGCAATATTTTGCTGTCTTTTCTTGGATTTTCTGTTTGCACTCAGTCATTTTAAGATGTTTTTTGTTCATGTTTTTGTTTTTTGTTTGTTGCGGTTGCACCCGATTCAAGAGCCGAATGGCTCACAGGGCTATACCTAATTAATGAACTTGAACTTGAACTTGAGAGGCATACGAGATTGTAACTCGCTGACCCCGTGCCCATAACTGGAGATCCGTGATGAAAGAGCTTCACAGCTCATCGGATTCCTCTTAAATAAAGATTTCTGATTTCTGATTAAAAAACAAATCTGAGATGTGATGAGCCGGGTGTGGAGATATTTTCCAGGTCGCCAAAATCCAGACGGATCCCGGCTGAAATTAATCGCTGCCCCCCCCCCCCCCTTCCCGACTCCTCACGCTGCGCAGAGGGCACACGAACCTGACGTCGTTGTGCGCGGTGGCGGCGTGGAGAGGCAGGCGCCCGTTTTTGTCCGGCATGTTTTGCCTGGCGCCGTTGCGCAGGAGAGACAGGCATCCCTCCAGCCAGCCCTGAGCGGCACGCACAGCACAGCAGAGCACGAATCGCAACGATCCCCTCATGGTCGTACAGGACTGTCGGGACAAGTGTTGTTGGCGAGCACCTATTAAGGATGGCACGGCGCACAAAGATGACCAGTGCCGTGCCTGGCCATCTTTCTCTCCCCAGTACTGATGTTTAAGATTTAACATAAAGTGCCTATTTAAGGCTCAGTCAACAAAAGGGAGACCCAGGAACGGTTCAGATAATGGCCCTTTTGTTCATTGTGGCTGAGTAATTGAACTCAGCTCGCCAAGTTCGTAGCACGGTGCGCTAACCACTACGCCACCGCTCCCCACCAAATCCGACCCTGGTAGGATTGAGAGCAGTGTTTCGCATGGGCACTGGTGGTGATTAAATAGTAAAGCGTTGGAATGTGCGTTACAAAGCAGGGGCATCAAAACAAAAACAGTCCTGGACACCCACCACTCTTGATCTGGCCCTGGGCATACCACAGTGGCAAGACGTTAACCACCTCGCCTGGTATGGAGGAGGTCGTGGGCTCGATCCCGACCCTGATGCCTGTTGTATTTTTGGAGTTGGCATGCTCGCCCTGTGGTTCCGTGGATTATTCTCCGGGTCCTCCGGTTTTTCCTTCCACATTTAGAATCCACATACGTTTAGGGTATTTGGCCCGCTATAAATGTCCACGTGGTCGCTTCTGCAAAAAAATACCTACATAGCTCAGTGGTAACCTTATGTGCAAATATAGAAGAAAAAAAATGGTCAATTTTGTTAGCTTTGACACCGCATCCTCACACTACGACCACGTCCCGCCGGCCCACGAATGACCCCTGTAGAACATTGGGCGAGGAGGCAATCCGTGGCGCGCGGGTACCAGGTACGCGGCGAGCGAGAGCGGCGTGCGGCCGCACGCGTCCTGTGTGTTGATGGAGGTGCCCATCTTGAGCAGCAGCTTCACCGTGTCGAGGCGTCGCCCCGACACCGCGTGCATCAGCGGCGTGAAGCCTGCGGAGCGGCAACGGCAGCGGCGGTTGAAGTTCGTCGTCGTTCATCATCGTCGTCGTCCTGAGCCATGATCAATCCACTGCTGGTAGGAAGGCTTTCCCAAGCCGTTGCCATCTCTGACTGTCTCGCAATGTAACAAAGGCAAATACGTAGCCAACCGTGCCAATCGGAGGTGCGGGGGAAGGACAACACACGAAACACAGAAAGCAGTTTGAAAGCTTCATAGGTGCTCCCGTTAGCGAGTAGCACCTATGAAGGCCGGCACAGTAAGCGAGCGGGTGGGCGGCCAGCACCACGCCCGACCGCCTTTATCTCCCCGGTGTCGATGTCTACACGGAGCACCAGGCACTTATTTGAGTCTGAGTCAACCTCGGGGAGACCCAGGACCGGTTCAAATAATCGTCACTGGTGTTGGCCTTGAGCGAGAATCGAACTCGGGTCGCCGGGGATCCGTAGTGCAGCGCGCTAACTGCTGCGCCACCGCTCTCCCACAATGCAATGTAACGGTCCACTTGGCACCTCCGCACAAGCCGATCTTCTCGCGACATCTCCACTTCCCTCGGCTGCCACTTCGTCATTCGTCCTCAACCAATGGGCATCGTCCATTTGAGCGGCCTGTCTTACCCAACAATCAATCTCCTATGACGTGCGTGCATTCTCCGATCCACGTGTTCCACGTTGTGTGTCTCTCTCTACCTTGGGTAACATTGAGAGGTTAGTGACCAATACTCATGACGTTCACTGGTTTTTTAAATGTAGGTGCGATATCTCAGCTTTTTTTAAAGATTAACACGTATTCGCATAAGTTGAGGAGCTTACCATTTTTCAAAGCATATTTTTTCAAATATTTAATTGTAACAACTGCGCACCCTGTGCTGTGATCAACGTGTTATGTTTACAGTATCTCTGCTTGGATGGCGTTCATCACATGTAGCGTATTTCAACTTAAAACATGCTTACTCTGCACGCAATGTATTGATTTGACGATATGAAAAGGAGGTATCGTTTTTTTTCCTGTCTGTTTTTTTTAGTAAACCCATTTCATCTTTCAATATTTTTTTGTACCGAATAACTGACACCGACTGGAACGAAAAAGTGAATCAGCAACCGAGTACAGTAATTCTTCACTTATGAAAGAGTCGATTTATCGCTATTTCCCATTCACCGGGTCCTTAAATGCATTTATAGGAAAATCTAATCTACACTCATGTTGGGGAGGGCCTTGTTTATAGGAGGAGGCCCCTTTTCTACGAATAGTTGAAGGTTTATCGCGAAACATTGAACGATGCATTTGTATGCACGGGGCTGCGCAGACACGCTGAGGCTGTGACTGATGTAAGCCGAACGGACACTAACGTTACGTATATTTAATTTATTGCCAAAATTTAAAATGCAATGCGGCATGTGACTTGAGGGTGGATTTCTAATATTTCTTGACGGTGTTTTTTTGCTGTAATATTTTTTACACAAAATACTATTGAATAGTCAATGCGTGCGAATAGATACATTTCTGAACGGATGATGTTGAAAAAGATAATGGCTTGGAAAACAATTCATGAGATTGTGTAGGATTAATCTTTGAAAGGAGACAGCATTTTCTATTTACCCTATTGATTTCCCTAAGTTTGTTTTGCTCGAATAAACGGCATTTATTTGATAACAAAATGTTTCCAGTTATTTATGTCCCTTTTTGGCATCACCACATGATCCGCGTGTCTGATGATTGCAGCTCTGCTGATGTGGGATTTCAAATGCCACATCAAGAGAGTGGTGAATCATTTCATGGTTGTGTCATTCAAAGCCCTGTGGTCGCCGTTGTATAAATACGCATGGCTCTCACATTTGCTTCGGTGATACGTGACTCCATTCCAATCATTCGGTTGAAGTCGAGTGGCATGTGTCAGTATGCATACCGCCAACAGGTATCACACTGACAAATGTAGGTGTAGCGCCAGGATATAGATAAGGTAAGCACTCTGTTTAATATACATTTGGAACGCACTAAAATACCATGAGGTCGAATATAATGTTTATATTTAATGCAATTGAATACCGTGACGTATTTATTTTTTGCTGCTCATACCAACATCTTTTTCAAACCACTTTAAACACCGATATGCAACTAAAACTTTTTCCTAGGCTTCCCTTGCAAGAGGCGACTCTCATCGCATCTAAATAGTGGCTCTTATTCGTAATATAGGTTTTTGGGTCAGATCGCGTTATTTATAAATGTGTCGTAACCCTCCACCACCCGACACGGCCAAACAGTAAAAAATGTGTCACGTTTTTCAAAGGACAAAATAAATCACTTCTTAGCCCACCGGTGTGTTGAAGAGAGAATCAACACCGGTGGGCTAAAGAAGTGAATTATTTTGTCCTTTGAAAAACGTGACACATTTTTTACTGTTTGGCCGTGTCGGGCGGTGGAGGGTTACGACACATTTATAAATAACGCGATCTGACCCAAAAACCTATATTATGAATAATATTGGTCGCGAAAGCCTACGTGTTAAAGTGGCTCTTATTGATGACGCTAAGTGAATAACTGGCATGTCGTGATCCACTAATCACCCATCCCCTGCCCTCCCCGCCCACCAAACAATTTGATGAATTGTCACGATGCAGGGATTGCATTTCGACTTCAGAAACAATGCCTCTGTTGTCTAAGTTTGACCGTCTTCTTTATATATCGTTTCTAATTTCTCTTGTTTCGCTGGTGAAAAACAAACCTCGTTCTCTTCATTAATGTGAAGTAAAGATACCCACGTCGCATTTCATTTGCATCGATATTAAAGCATCAATTCTCACGCGTGTGATTTGATGTGCGCGTTACGACCGCAGTGAGTGTCATCTACGAATGGGTACATTATTAAATGCCTAATTCACGCAGGATATGTGTTAAACGTGGACGGGTGACTCAGAGGTCAAGTACTTGAGCTGGACCCACTGAAAACCTGGGTTCGAATACCGCGATGAACCCGATTCTCAAGCGCCGTGAGTGAATGGTTCCAGCCTCGTCGAACGATGACTGCACAAAAAAAACGCGACATTAGGTTTGGTTCGACGCTTAATTTGGCTAAAGACCTCCTCTGAGCATTCCAAATGTCTGTTTGAGTGTCACGTGAAGGATATCAGTCACGGTGGCAGCGCATGTGGGAGATGGCTTGATGCCAAACGTGTGGACCGGCGGTAACTTGAAGTCGATCTCAGAGGCAGATCCGTGATATCCACGTCCCGATGGATACCTCGTCTCACGGCATGATGTCGATCACGCAAATCAGGTTTGAACATGGGAAAGACACAAGCAAATTTTTACAAAAAAATATATTTTTGATCAACGCGATTTTCTGTATCCCGCTACCGGAACTTTTCGCCGTGGTATATCGGGCCAGCGTTAATTTGTAATAAAAAAAAATTCTTGCGTTTTCTTTCAAATGAGGAAAGTGTGACCGAGCGGCGTTACCCTCATTGTCGCAGCACTCGAGGATGGACGGGTCGTCGCGGATGCTCGCCGTCAGCGTGTTGTTGTCGCCCATGGCCGCCGCCTGGTACACAATGGCCAGGTCCGTCTCTTCTGACACGTCTCCTGGTGGAGGCAAAGACGGTGGCAGCATTCCCAGATAAAACCCACAATAGTGGCTTTGTCGCGCGTGCGGTGGATTTTCGATTCTCAGCGCTCACCACAAGACGATGCGGCTCCTCAACGACGGAGAACGATATCCATCATTCGCAATCATCATCATCATCGTGTCATGATCAATCAATTGCTGGATGAAGCAGAGCCGAATGAAAAGTGCCTGCAGGCATGGGCATGCTTCCTGCTTCTGAACCAAACTGTGGTTATAACCTTTCTTGACTGGTGACACCCTCACGTATATCGCGTTTTTAACACGTGAATGCATCGAATTCACCACTGTATTGTATTTAGTCCTGGCGATTATGGGTCCGTGCATGCTGGTTTTTGTTTTGTTTCATTAGGCTGTGTATGGGATGACGGGGCCTCCGCAGGCTATCACTATCACCCACCGTCCTACCAATGTAGAAATCCATCTGGCACCCTGCAAGTGAGGCGATCAATCGCTCTATCTCTGCTATAGACCTCCTCTCGGGCTAATTCCTCTATTTGTCTACCACTTTGACGTTAGCCTTCATTGACTGCTGGCCATTATTCCTTCTCGTCACATGTCCTGCCCAAGCCTGTTGATTTTTCTTAACAGTCAAAATTATGCCTTTAACCAGTGTACGTTCTGATAACCCACGTGTCCCTCTTTCTGTCTCTCAGTGTTATTCCAAGTACAATACAGCGCCGTGTCTCTCCGTGGTCCATGGAGAATGGTAACTGTAACCAACGCTGACGAAGGTGTAGAGCGTCGCGACGCTAAGATTTGAGGGACTTTTGCCGTCGCTTTCACCACAGCGGTGGCGTGCCGTGGAAGGCATGGGCCCAGATCGAAATTGACATCGGGGAGGAGGGGGCCGTGTACAATTTCCCCCCAATTCGTAGCCCAGTGCCTGAGCCCCTGCTGCGGTCCATGGGCACCCCTGTGCAGTTGCACCGCCTGCACACACTTCCATAGCCAGGCCGCTGCTTCAGAGCCTCTGCCCAGAGACTCTGAAGCAGCCTCTGGGCAGTCTCTGGGCAGAGACCGTGGCTTCCGCTGCTCCACACGCGAAGAGTTTCCTCTGACCCTCCCCGAAGAAACAAAGGTCACCCAAGCTCCCCACGCAAGCCAGGATCTGCCTCAAAGGGCTACCCAGATGTCCCTCTAAAAGCGCCCGATCTACAAAGGCGTTTTCAAGGCAACTGTCAACAGCTAATTGTTACCCACAACGCCGGGGAAGTTGTGCCTCGAAAATTTATAGAAGACGGTGGGCCATCCAACTGTTGCCGGCGAAAATTGATTGCAGGCAATAATTGCCATAAATTGCCCTGGTGTAGATGAATTCCCTTCATATAAAATTCAAACATCTCGTTCTGATACTTAAAAAAAAATATCCCACTCTCCTGTCTTGTCCATCCCTTCCAATAAAAAAGTAAACAACCCTTTGTGAATCTCCTCCTGGATGGCGACCTCCCCACACCTGTCGGTCAGGTGGGTTTGACCATACTTCACCGCGCTCGTTAGTGGGTTGATGAAGGCGTTGATTGGGGGGGGGGGCTGGTTCAGGTATCACCTCTCGTGTTAACTGTGGCCAAGAATCACACTCAGAACATTCCTTCCCCCCGCACCTTCGATTAGCACGGTTGGCTACGTACGGTGCGGATGTAAGTACAACATGCATGCATACATATGAACATATATAACTTAAGACTGACCTATTTGACATTCCAAATAATACTGTACTAATACAGTACTCACAATAATGCCCTTTATTTGCCTAGGGACATCCTCAATGGGTCTTAATATTATTGTTCAACAGGGTCCTACTTTTGGACGACTCGCCAATTCCAACAACGAGTTGTTTGGCTTTGCGCGGCACACAAACTGGAGTCCGGTACCTGCAGAAAACCCAAAGATAAAATGCAAGAATCCATCGCTGTACTTCCACATCCTGTCCACCTTCCACCTGCCCTAACCACTGCAGCGTATCGTGCACGACCCTCTGGCTCCCCGCACACTCGCGTCTTAATGTGCCTGGAACACGATCCTTAACGCGAGGTTGTAGCGTTAATATTCCCCCAACGCCTTCTCGCCCTAACACCAGATCACTGTTCCGCGCGCAGTCAGTGGAAACTCCCACAGGGAAGAGGCGCGCACAGAAGCGGCGGTGGTGCGGACGGACAGCTGGCAAACAACTCCTCAACCTCACGTCCTGTCAATAGCACCACCCTAAATGAGAAAATACATTATATATATTATTTCGACGTTCCGGGCAATGGCCCTTTTTCCTGGATATGCGCGGCCACACCCCCTGTATCAGTGATATAACTGTTACAATGTTTTCTACTGACTCGATGCCATGTAACAATAAGCCAGGTCAGTTTGAATATCTTATATAACCACACGACACACTTGGTGCGCCGTGTCATCATTAATAGGTGCTCGCTAACAACGCTTGCTACGACAGTCAAGACAGCCACACCGGGGGGGGGGGTCTTTGTGTCCCCAGTGCTGACGTTTCCACACCGCACCAGGTGCTCATTTAAGGCTGGGTCGACCTAGGGGAGTCCCACAACCGGCCCAATTATCACTCGCCCTCTGATGTCCACACGCACATGTATACGTAGCATGTATACAACACGAAACTGACCGTAACAACGGTACTTAATACGCATGCATCCACTCACGTGGATGTCTGTACCTCTGTGGGCTCTAGAGGGTGTTCATATCACCGTGAGCATCAATAGGCGCTCACCTTGTTTGTAAGACATCAATATAATGAATGATTAATATCGTAACGTATTAGGCAAAACACAATCAACCGTGACATTAAAAACGTGGCCGCTGTATTTGCACGTTTCCAAACGGTGCGTGCATTTTCCGAACGTATTAAATATGCACGCCGCTATTTAATGAACACATGTCCACCGACTCAATACATACACCGATCTCGATCGCGTTTAAAATTACCGGCACACACACACGCACGGGCCGTCCCAGCGCCTCCCTGGTTATTAATCTGTGCCTCGAATGCCCCACATTGTTGGGTTGGTTTGAAGATCATTATTATTGTATTCATGCGCAACACACGTAAATGTCAAAGCAATCATGCTCGCCTGTGCGTGCTGGTCCATACATAAGCATATCTCCTATACATAGCACGCGACTGTGATGCCACTCTCTGCATATTGCATTGCATCGGCTCATTCGTGCATGTGGACGCGGGCACTGACTGCCCTTCGCTGCATATAACCTGGCAGCGGCATTTTCACAATCACAGGACACACAATCGCACTGCACAGCAGCGCGCAGGCGCTACGGGTACAGGCAGACACTGCCAACAATTATTGAGTAGCACATGCAGTGCCCAAATCTGCATATTGTACCGGGCGCTCGCACGCGGAATGCAATTCACTAACGGGTCATCTGCAAGCACCGCGTGCACATGCAGAGTCTATTACGTGCTTCCAATTCACCATTGTAAGCAATGCGCATCGTGATATTATAGCATATAACATAGTACACACCGTTATAAGTGTTGTATTGGTGGCTACCTTTGTGGTCCATGAAAGCTGACGATCGGCTGAAGTCCATGACGAAGCCACATGACACTGGCTTGTGCATGCGAGACACGGGGAGGAGGAGGAGAAAGGAGGAGGAGGAGGTGGTGGTGGTCAGGTGGTGGGGTGGGGGTTGTTGTGGAAGGATGGATGGAGTGGGTTTGGAGGTGGAGTTTCCAATGGCTCGGAGAATCCGTTGAGCGCACGGAGAGGGGGTGGTGAATGTCTCTGTGTGTGTCTGTGTGTGTGTCTCTGTGTGTGTGTGTCTGTGTGTGTGTATCTGTGTGTGTCTCTGTGTGTGTGTCTGTGTGTGTCTCTGTGTGTGTGTCTGTGTTTCTGTGTGTGTGTCCGTGTGTGTGTGTCTCTCTGTGTGTGTATCTCTGTGTGTGTGTCTCTGTGTGTGTCTCTGTGTGTGTCTGTGCGTGTGTCTCTTGTGTGTGTGTCTGTGTGTGTCTCTGTGTGTGTGTCTGTGTGTGTGTCTCTGTGTGCGTGTGTCTCTGCGTGTGTCTCTGTGTGTGTCTGTGTGTGTATTTGTTGTTGTTGTATCTGTGTGTGTGTGTCTGTGTGTGTGTCTCTGTGTGTGTGTTTCTGTGTGTGTGTCTGTGTGTGTCTCTGTGTGTGTCTCTGTGTGTGTCTCTGTGTGTGTCTGTGTGTGTCTCTCTGTGTGTGTCTGTGTGTGTCTGTGTGTGTGTGTGTGTATCTGTGTGTGTGTCTGTGTGTGTATCTCTCTGTGTGTGTCTGTGTGTGTGTGTCTCTGTGTGTGTGTCTGTGTGTGTCTCTGTGTGTGTGTCTTTGTGGGTGTGTGTCTTTGTGTGTGTGTCTGTGTATGTCTCTGTGTGTGTGTCTTTGTGTGTGTGTGTCTCTGTGTGTGTGCCTGTGTGATGGGGAGCGGAAGAATAGTGGTTAGCGCACTGCGCTACGAACCTGGTCGACCCGGGTTCGATTCCCGCTCACGGCCAACACCAGTGACGATTATCTGAACTGGTCCTGGGCCTCCCCTAGGTCGACTCAGCCTTAAATGAGTACCCGGTGCGATGTGTAAACATCGCCGTTGGGGAGACAAAGGCGGCCGGGCGTGGTGTTGGCCACCCACCCCCTCGTGTGCCGTGCCGGCCTTTATAGGTGCTCGCTAACAGCACTTGCCCCTACAGTCTGTTAAGGCTATATGGGGGGCCTTTGTGTGTGTGTTGTGGTGAAGCGCGCTGCGCTACGAACCTGGCTACCCGAGTTCCAGTGACGATTATCTAAGCATAGTCCTGGGGGAGCCTAATGTTAAGATGTTTTGTTTTCTTTGTATCTTGCCGCTAAAACAACGATTAGTTGCGCATGAATTGTGATTGGCTGAGATGTCGGAGGCAAGAAAAAGTATCGCTCAGAATGAATGCAGGAGCAAGCCGTGTACTGTGTGATTTATTTATTTATTTGGGCAATAATTAACCATAAACAATAGTCTAAACTAATAGGGGTTTTCCCATTTTTTCTGGCAACAAAACTGACACCTTTTGCAAGGATTCATGCTTACATTAACCACAATACTTGCAGTCAAATTCAAACAGAAAACAATAGCAGAATATCAGAATATTGTTTTCTGTTTGCATTTGACTGCAAGTATTGTGGTTAATGTAAGCATGATTCCTTGCAAAATGTGTCAGTTTTGTTGCCAGAAAAAAGGGGAAAACCCCTATTAGTATATTTTGGTACTGGCAAAGGAGGTCCCATGATGATCATAAGCAATAGTGTTTAATAAGTAGGCTTTCGCGACCAATATTATCCATAATAAAGATTGTTTGGGTTATATCGCGTAAATATAAATGTGTCGTTAAACCCGCCACCACCCGACACAGCAGATTATTAAGGTTTATCACGTCAACAGAACGTGCCAATTCGTTACTACTTCAGCACCCCGGTGTGTTGGAGAGTAATCCCACTTCTCGCAGATGGAACTTGTGGGGTCCACGTTTTCAGTACCGCTTACTCATGGAAAGTCAGGGTCATAGCAACATCCAGGGAAAGCGAGTTTCACAACATGGGTGACCCACCAACCCTCGCCTACTCTACAATGCTGTATCACAGACGTGCGCCTACTCCACACCGCATGGAAATCAATCGTCAGCAGGAGCTATGGGTCAATCCACTGCTGGATGAAGGCCCTCCAAAGTCGCCGCCGCCACCTCTCACAATCCTTCCGCGTAATAATCCGCGCGGCATCTGCACACGAGATGATGCTATTGCCCCATCGCCTCGGTGGAGTACACAAAAAAAAGATGTGGATATGTTTGATACCTAATGAACACAATTTAATTACTGTACCCAGACATAACATTTAAAAACAATATGAAAAAAAAACATTTCCAACACGTTCTTAGTATTGTTTTTTTAATCTAACAAGGTCACACCTTTTAACTAGTTTTTTTTGTATACATATATACTTGCGTTTTATAATTGGCAAATGGAAAATTGACAAACACAATCCCACAGCGACGTGGTACGTGAGCTTGTTCGTGGAATTACAATCAGATGGACAGTCATCTTCTTGGTTCTTTCGGTAAAGTCACGTAGAAGGGAAGTAATAAAATAATAAAAATAAAACATAATCAAATAATTCTCACGACGTTTCGGCCACAACGCAAGCAGCCGTCCTCAGGTGAAGACCAGATCTGTCGGGGAGACAGCGTCTGAATGGTCTTCACCTGAGGACGGCTGCTTTCGTTGTGGCCGAAACGTCGTGAGAATTATTTGATTATGTTTTATTTTTTATTATTTTATTACTTCCCTTCTACGTGACATTACCGAAAGAACCAAGAAGATGAATCCCTGCAGTCACGAAAGCTTTAAATCGAAATCAGACGGACAGTGTTACGGATCAAATAACAGAGAGCCACTGCAGCCGTGGCCAGTAGAGGGCAGAAGAGGCCTGCAATCCTGGAGTAGAATCGACTGCACCTTCCAATATTTCAGTTGAAGTTGACAGTATTTTGAATTTGTTACACGGATGATCTCGTTGAGCCAGTTCCCCTGTTATTTTACGAGGGAGATCCGTGGTGCGTGAGCATAGCAGCAACAATAAAACAAATACATAAACTTGAAGTGGCTTAGTTTATTTCTCAAAGTGTTGCAAATCGTAACTCATCTCAAGGCGGCAGCTTTCATGTGTTTTTCATTTGTGTTAAACCGATTTATATTATTACCTCACAATAACGAATAATAATGTTTTATACTCAGGAAAGTATTTCTGAGTTTGGTAAAATGTAAAAAAAATTGCATCGGAAAACCGCGGCACAAAGATAATTTAATAATCCATTGAGACAGCTGCCACTGGGGGTCCCCTTGGCTAGACTGCAGCAGGGCATTTGAATAGTATGATGAGATGTCAGGCACTTTGAGTTTCTGTGGCGTTTTAAGTGTCCTATGCATTCGAATAATTACCCATATTGCATCCATGTCAACCCATACGGTTTACCCGTATTCTCGTACAGAGAAATTGAGTTTAAAAAAATTTACATTTTTGGTGTTTCTCCCTTGTGATGGGACTTTGTAGAATGAACGTTGGGATTAATAAGGGTACGGGGTGACCAATAATATCTGAATTGGTCTGTAATAAGGTCGACACTGATCAGGGGTTGACAGGTATGCTGCTGCCCCCTCGACCCTCCAACTCGCTGGCATTCTCAGCAGCCTCCAATCCAAGTAATAGCCAGGTTCAGGCCCGCTTAGCTTGCGAAATGTAATGAGATCGAATGCATTCAAGTTGCAGACATCACGTGCACGTGGTTTATGTACAATGACAATGGACTGGAACGTCTAATTATAAAACGGTCAACAAAACATCAACGTACCCACAAAAAGTAACTGCAACGTCACATTAACACCATATTCACGATTAAACAGGCATAGACGTGGCACAACAGTAATTTTTATATAAGTTTAATTCATGCAAATACGTTGAGCATTGTTAACATTGAAAAAGGTAAAAGGGTTTGAGTGAAGGGTATAATAAATTAATAAGTGAATACTATTTTAAATTAAATATTTAGTTTTAGTATTTCGTACGGCTGCTGATGTAGATGTGGAGCAACAACGACAACTTCACTAACCACGTCAGGAGTATAGCGAAGTGGTGAATCATCGTCGCTGTGATGTCTCATTCGCGTTTATGGGTCGGGCAAATGATCGATGTTACCACCGACCGGATGCCATCTGCTAAGCCACATCTCTCCCCCAACCCTAAACACTGTGCTCCTCCATCAGCTCAACTATCCGGCCACCAGACCTTTGCCCCTACCACCCTTCACCTACCCTCATCCATGCCCATTGCACCACTTCACGCATGCGCCCAATACCCCACCGCCTCTCATCCACGCTGCACCGCCCATCAGACACCCTCACTCACCGTCACACTCCACCTTATTCTGTCTCACCTACCCCTACAACATCAGCCTCATTCCCAGCCTCTGTCCCTCCAACCATTCCGTCACCTCCCTCACTGAACGCCGTCGGCTTGCATCTTAAAGCGCCCTGGAAAGGGCGGTATATAAACCCCAAATAGAATAGAACAGAGCCATCTTGCGCAACGTACAGGGGGTTCCAGATGTCTTGTGACCCCAAACATTGTTTTTCACTTTGCATATTCATTTATGTTTTAAACAAAGCTTACTTAATATATGTATTTTTGAAGTTTCACAGAATTAAATGGGGGACACAAGACATCTGGACCGCCCCTGTACAACCATTGCGTTATGTTGGACACCTCTCAAGAAGAAGGCAGGTTGAGTGAAAACATTTCCCGAAACGGATTGGTGGCCTTTGGCGGTGAAGATCTGAGCTGGGCTCTCCACTGCGTTTAGCTCCCTGTTGTTGTTGTTGTTTTTTTTCTTCCAAAAACAAACATCTGGCAAATCGCCCGATGATGCTGGAGGCAATTACCAGCGAAACGTAACGGTACTCAAATTGCAAATGTTGTGGATTTACTCTCCAACACACCGGTGGGCTGAAGTAATTAAACTAATTGGAATGTTCTGTTTACGTGATAAACCTTACTGGCTGTGTTGGGTGGTAGAGGGTTACGACACAATTATAACCCAAAAAACTTTATTATATAACCCAAAAACCTTTATTATGAAA